TCTCAGTCAAGTTACTAAATAATTCATCGACTTTTATCTTATGATTTATAATATAACCTTACGAGCTTTCGTAGATGACAGTATATGGAATCTAAATCGATATCGTTTTTTAAACATTACAAAAAAGAAAACAAAAAAGTTCATTGATCGTGGCACAATATCTGGGAAACACACTGTTTTTTTTTTTTAAACTGCCGAGTACGGTAACCCTATAGTCTCACCAATACCGTTATGCGAGTCCACATTCTGTATCCAATCGCGCGAAATGTGATTCGGAGGAGTGCGTTGTTGCAAATTTTTTTATCGTGACTTTCCGCGCATAACGTTCATTCTCTCTCGATGCTGCACAGTATTTTATGCTTTAGGAGCGGTTTCTATTCGCGGAAATATCTCACGGCGCAAAAGTTTATCGATAATTTACACGCCACCACATATAGCGGAGTCTATTGCGGCAATGGAGTATTAAGTAGTATCGAGAATACGCCGTGTATACTTCTTGTATGTACGCGATCTGGCAAAATGAGACGCCACGGGCGTTTGAGTTATCAGCGTATTTCCATAACGTGCGAATTATTGCAAGATTTTATTGGCGAAAAATGCGAACATGACAGAGAGGGCGATGTTAGATACCGACGGAATTATGAAAGGCTCTCGTAAGATGGTAATTATTGCGCGCGCGCATTCAATTGGTTCGTGTATCGCCCATCATTCCGTTTTACTCTCACTGAAAAAAGAAAAAAAAAATCAAGGACACCTCGCCAAACCAGTACGATTCCCGCGTTATCTCGGCTCTTTCTCTGCACTTCTCACGGTTGGCGAATTTGTCATCGGGATGAATTTTATCGCGATTGAACGTGCCGTTTTATTTTATTCGAACATTGAAGTGCGCAATTAACATTCTCTTCTGGATTCTCATTACAAAAAAAAAAAAAAATAAAATCTTGAAACGAAACCAAGTCGGAATGAAGTCGACTAAATCGTAATAAATACACGAAAAAAAAACGATTTTGCTAAAAATTTAGCTGGATACAGATTTGAAAATAATTTCGTTGGACTGTCAAAATTATATAAAACGCTTAAAGTGATTAAATAAACTTTTTGCAACATTGCTCATTCTGCTTAAATACTACATAACTATTTTAATGGTGCAACAAAGTTATTTTATAGATCAGTATCTAGCTAAATTTTTAGATACTTTAGTAAAATCTTCTTTCTGTGTATAAACGTGTGATTTTTAAGAAAGTTTCGTGCAAGAACATTATTCCGTTGCAGTTTCTTAATTCAACATCATCTCGCAAATAGATATAAAGATTAAATAGACACATGCATATACACATGATAAAAACCATCCACGTATATGTAAAAAAAAATCACAAAAAGCATATAAACTTATTAAAATAAAGTCCAATTAATTTCCTATTTTCCGCATGGTAATCACCATACGTGTACATAATAACATCCCACGCTGTATTCAGCAATCCCGTCATAATCCCGCCATGCATCGTTTCCTTCCCTGTTATCCATGGACCCGCGAAAAATCGACCGAACTTGCCCATTATTAGCGATAGTTGGGATCGAGAACCAGCAAAAGAATAGTTGGCGGTCGCTTGATTGCGGCGGTAACGGATATTTAGGCGTCTACGAGGGAGGGGCCGGTCGCGTCGCACGGAGGGGGAGGGGGAGGGGGATACGAGGGAGGAGGTATACATCTAGCCCAGGTACAGACAAAGGGGCAGACCCGGCGGAGAAAGGAAGGGGAGTAGATTCGGCGGAAACCGTGCGGAAGGCGCCTGAAGAGGATACCGAGAGAGCATCCCTTCCCCACCCCACTCTCTCTCTCTCTCTCTCTCTCACTCGAAGAGAAGAATGAGCAGTCAGCAGGAGGAGCGGAGCTGCGGCTCTCAAAGGACTCTCCTACTCTCTTTCTGCTCAAAACCTAAATATAACAGCCAGTCAAGTGCAGTTCCTTTCCTCGATCGCGTTCCCCCGCGCCATATTGGGCGCGCACGTGGAGACGCGACAGGTCGACGAATGATGTCGGGACACCATGTGTACCTGGATAATGTCGAAAGTAAAAGTATCGAAAGTCAAAGTATTCGTGCTTCGATATTGCTGCTGATGCCACATGGAAAAAAATGATCTTGATAAAGTATCTACAAATTCAAAATGATGTAGGACGCTTAAATTAGTTGCTAGAATGTTAAAACTTTTCGCAGCATTAACGTTTATTGAACGTTTAAACGTTAATTATTTTGATGGTCCAACAAAATTATTTTCAGATCTGTATTCAGTTAAATTTTTAAATACTTCAGTAAAATCTTCTTTCCATAACTGAAGAGGAGAGTTTCGAAGAGATATTCCGTTGCAATTTCTTAATTCAGCATTATCTCACAAATGAATATAAAAATTATGAAAAAGGTTAAGTAGATACGTGAATATGTATGTACACAACACACGATGTGATCTTTTTGCATTCTCCACGCATTTCAAACGTCATTTTATTAATATTTTAAAGCAACTATATAAAATTATCAAATGTAATAAATTCGTTAATTTATTCCTTCATTTCTGTGATAGAAATATATTCTGTTTTTTAGGTGGAAACAAATAGAAATTGTTTTTCATATAGAAAAACAAATATAAATTGCTCCGCTCTGAATCGCTATGAAGTAAATTATTCGACAGTGGAGTAATATTTCTCGGATTTTGGAGAACAAAGAACATGACCTACTTTGCGTTATTCAAATGCTGACGTAATTTCTCCCGATTTATAATAAATGTTACCTAGTTCTCGTTTCCTCTCCCGAATCGACGTACGGTCAAGCGCAACGATTGAACCGTAACGACGCATGCGTCGTGATTCTCGAAATTGCGAGGCGATAGCGTGACGTCATCGGTATCTCTGACGTAGTTTCAGCATGATATTAAACCCGTCGACCGGGTCAGGACATTACCTCAAATACCTAAAAACATCCTAATAACTTGCAGCCGAACAATGGCACTCTATCTATCATCGAAAACTTGATTCCTTCTACCCTTCCCACGGATTTGTATTCTGATTTATATGCTTGACATGTCGAATGACAGAAATATTGATACTCTGATTCGGAGATGTGTATCCTTGGCCAAAAATATTAAGTATCTATACTTTTTTCTGGAATTTATCTGGAATTCTTCTATCTACATTATCAAGTACTTCTTAACTTACTGGCATTATAAATTTAAGGGTTCTTGAAAGAACAGAGAATGTAATTTACAGCATACATCATAAATCAATTTTGGAACTAAAACTTTAAATAATGATTAATAATGTCTAATATTTTTGGACAAGATAGTATTTAAAGATTATCGAAAAGATAGAAACTTATCGAGTTTGATGTAAAAACGCCCACAAGTGCCTTATATATTTGGAACATCTTTTTCTTAGAAAAGAATTTATACATATAAAACAATCGCTACGTTATTTTATGTCAAAAATATAATTTTTGAAAGATTTTTTTGTATCAAGAGAAAGAAATAAATAGAAATCCATACAAATTTTTCTCATAAAGATTTATATGGGATATAAAATATTTTGAAATACTTGTTCCATGATTCTTCTGAACGAGTGAAATATTATTTAGAAAAATGAATTACCTCGAAAATTTTTGTTTTTGACACTTGGCTACAGAATTCTTACATCGAGTATTTATTAATACCACGTTCGATGAAGGAGGCCTGAATCTTCTATGCGAGCGATTAAACCCAATTATATCTAATTTTCATACTTTTATCTTCAATTAGAAACGTGTTTGACATATAAATAGAGCAATTGCCTGGTACTTTTGATTTGACATTCTATATTCAATAGTTTCCATATCGAGAACTAGGACGTACGTATAATATTTATTTAGATATGGAAGTCATAAAAATTGAGTTTATTCGTTCCTAAATCAATTAAATCTACAGCCAAACATTATAATTAAATCAGTCAATTTGAAAGCATTATAAGTCCAATAACTAAAATTTAATATCGTCATTTATACAGTACAGATTAAAAACTGTACCGAAAATCACTTTGTGAAAAAATTTATCAGAAAAATAGGATGTGTGAATTATTAGATTTTTAAAAATATTATTCTCAAAAAACAGTTTTTTAGTCGACTCGTGTATCTCTGCACAAAAGAACAGGTTTGAACCTAACAATTTAGTCAGATACACAGCTGAAAATAATTTTGTTGGACCATCAAAATAATTATTATATATAGAACACTTAAACCTTTACAACAATGTTTTAGCAAATCTTAACATTCTAACAATCAGTTTGAGTGTGATTATGTCGCTTATAAATTTTAATCCCGATAATGAAGTAAACATAGTTCAATTCCAAGCTCCAAATATTCTACATAATTACTTTGATAATCTAAAAACAAAATTATTTTCAGATCTAGTCAAATTTTTAGTACTTTATTGAATTATTTCTTTACTGATTGAAAAGAATTGATTGAAAGTGAATGAACCAGTAGATTCTAATCAATAAGAATTTTACTTATCTCAATTAGGATATTTAATAGATTTAATCAGATGATTCTGATTTATCCATTTTTAAACAAAATTCTGATTAATGCAACCAGATTCTTTTTTCAGTGCAGCAAAACCATTCTTTCCGTGTGCAAAGTATCACGCTTTAAAATTTATTTTATCGAATTTTCCACCAATTTCGTCAAAGCTACTGTTCATACTCTTGAAACATGTATTGTTTTCAAACGATTTAATATCTAGAACGTAGCATTCCGCTACAGGTATTGTACAAACTTATTTATCGTTTCTACGCTAAAAAAAACTAAGCGATCTACACACTTTCGCAAACACATCACGTTAACTGTCTCGTTTCCCGTTAATTATGACCTGCCCATTGTATTTCCGAACTGACCAATTTATTAAACCTGTTGGGGCGCCGCATAGATTCGCGCGACAAATGATAATTGTATCCAAGATAAATGGATCTCTGAGAGACTCACCCTGCATTTTCAGTGGCAGCAATGGACATGTGCCTCCTCTCATCGAGGATGGGCGCGGCGTCGAATTGCCGGGGGAGATCCGTGGTAATGAATTGAAAGTCACGCGTGTACGAGAGATGTTCTCCTCTCTCTCTCTATCTCTCTTTCCTTCTCTCCTTCTTCTTTTCCTTCTTGTGGGACACCACCCTCGCGCACCAACAGAACTTCTCACCACTACACCGTCGATATCATCACCAAGCGACTACAGGGTCGTTAACCACCACGCGCGACACCAGTATCACAGAAATCAACACGCTCTCTCCGTCGCGATTCAGATACAAAGAAGAGAAGGGAAAGAAACCGACGGGAAAGAATAACCGCGAATCCGTTCGAAGGTTCCACCTTTTCTCACGACTTGGTCCATATACACGTAACGGCTGAGTTCCCGTTCTCGATTACTTTTCGGGAGGAACGAAGTTATGGATATCAACACGCGCGTGGATATCGTTCTCGCGATTAATCGTCGATTAGCCGACCGAGCTCGACGGTGACATCCGATGATGAGTTGGAAACTGCATCGTCGTCCTTCCGCCGACAATTTTCAGACGTCTTCTCGACGACATTCGATACAGACAGTCCGTGCCGCGCTGTCGACCACGTTCTTCCTCTCTGATGCCCACGGCAGGTGCAGGCGAGGAAGCCTCACACGAATTGGATCACGACAGAGTTTCGAGCACCGTCGGTCTCGGCTTGAACGATGGCGTGATCGACGAACACAACGTGATCTCTCTATCGAGACGCGTACACGTCGTCAGGGTGGGCCCGTAGCACGAGCGATGGGAGTGTCTCTTCCTCGAAGCCGGGGCCCTCCTCCGATTCCTTCCTTTCTTCTCTCAGATTACTCTCGATTTTTTTCGATCTCTTCGAATCTCAGAGTTGTTTCAAGCTCTTCCTGCCGGCGAAAGCTCGAATTGACCAAGTTTTTCACTTCCGCCGCCGTGGAATTCTGTTGGTCTTTCCAAACTTCCTCGCAATCCACGAAGTTCAAGGATTTTATTGTGTCGATCCTCGATGAGCGAATCGATCCTGAAAATGACAACAGTAAATGCCAGATGAGCGAGAATGACAATCGTGCAAGTGCGAGCGAAAAGGAAGAAAGAGTATATGCTATAAAATGAGTCCACGTAACGCGTTAATGAGCGGAACAAATAAAAAAATTGCGTCGTACATTACGTCGAACGCATTATGCGTTGCGTTCGACGCGTTTTACATTCGGAGATCGTAATAGTTACAAATAGTTGTTTCTAACTGATCTGTGAGGTAATCAGCGGAATCGTTAGTGAACTAACGGTTACGCCGATACCTTACTGGAATAATATAAAAATAACAGTTATAATTTTTATAGAAATAGATTCGCATATTTCTCATAAGTATAAGTCGCTCAAATAAGTATTGTAATCGTATCATTATTCCTTATCTTAATTTGACTGTCATCGACGCTTATTTTAATTGTTATAATTATAGTTATTTCTATAATACATTTATATTTCGTATAAAAGTAGATAATAAAACGCAGTACATTTAATTTAATCGTAAAAAAAATTTGTTTACTTGTGTTAAACATTTTGTCCTTATTAAATTTTTTACACATCCGAATATTAATTCAATATGTGATTATGTTATGAATGTTGTGTGATAAATTGATGTTTAATATTTAGTGTTAAAATAACACAATTTATATATAAGTAACATAAAACTAATGTAATTTTAAAATGCAAAATCGAACATAAATAGATAAAAAATGAATGTATGTTAATTTAATAAATTATAAATGTTAATTTTAGTGAAAAAATATGTTTCTATTTCCAAATGTGTCAAAATATTCAACATGTTTAGTGTAAATTTTACATAACGTTTACTTTCTAACATATTCATAAAACACGTTCATATTAAATTAACACAAGATGGACGTCGCTTGAAATATATGAAATGTTGTGTTAAATTTGATGTAAATTTTGCAACTGTGTAAAATGTGTCATTAAAAGTAAAACAATAATACAATTACTATTATTGTAAATTATAATAAAGAAATTAAATACATAAGAAATAAATTTTGTATCTCTTAGAAATCACTAGATATTATTTTCTTTTAAAGTATGTATAGATATGAATAAAGACAACAAACGTGATGTTCAGCCTTCCAGAACAATGTTACCATTGTAACGCCTTATAAGATAAGGCGCAACTTGCGATTATTACTCAAGAGTTATGCGTTATTACGATAAAAATATTTTAATAATTTTGCACATCCAAAAAAAATTCACTTATTCAAAGCTAAAATTTATAATTTTACTCATCATATTAAGATGAAATCTGCGAAATGTTTTCCAATGAAAACTGCTGCAATATTAAATTACTTAATTTTAATCATTTATTACAAGATAAAAACTGTATATATTTTATTACACTTGATTATATATTTACGCTCACTATTACATATAGGTATCGTTTAATCGCACACATTGTATTATTATTTTCCAAACGACTATGACGTGCTCTCTTTCTCTCTCTCTCTCTCTCTCTCTCTACATGGAGTCGCGCCTTCCGTAAAACCGCGAGGACGCTCGCCTGCGTTTTTCCCCGTTTTCGGCGAGGCAGAGCGAGCGAGAAGGTTAAACGCATCCGCAACTAATGGCAGGTTTCGAAACATCGAGCCTCTCCGCAACACAACCAACTGTCGTTCCCGTCGTCGTCGCGGCCACGGTGTAACCTCGCGCATCACATGGCGTCGCGCACGACGAGAGGCACTGCCATTAATACAATAGCCCCGGTGCGTGCATGCGCGGCGCATGTCCACACGGCTCATTCTCTCGCTTCCGAAACATATGTAGACCGTGGGCGCGTTTAGGAAAACTCGGGGAGATCGATATCGTCGTCGGCCGTCGCGTCGACGACGACGCTCCGTCGCGAATTTGCGCAATTTATCGGCGAGGTCTACGGGGTGTCCGGAACCACCACGACCGATTCCAATGGTAGGCCTTTCGTTGGTAAATAACGAAAAGATGTAATTACATGGCTAAAAATATTCGCGATTTATTTTCTATTTTTTAATATTAAAAATGTAAAATTTTCTTTCAATTTTCATTAGGAACATAGAACTGTGTTCTGCTATTAGAACTGCTATTGTTTTTCTAAATATTAATAAAACATGCCAATTTTACAGACACTGGTCGGCCTCTCTCTATTTAGTAGTCTTGATAAGAGAATCGTTTGCGTATCAGCGATGTCAGCGTTCTTATATTATCTTTACATGAAAAAAATATGATTTTATTAAAATATCTGAAAACTTAAGTAGCTCTCCAAATTCTGTTGGATCATTAAAATAATTATGTACTTAGGAAACATGTTGAGCAATGTTGCAAGAAGTTTTGTAACAATCACCTTATCTTACACAATTATTCGATAATCCAACAGAATTATCTTCGGATTTATAATTGAGCTAAATTTTTAGATACCTCAGCAAAACTATCCTTTTCGAGTAGGGGAGACCGGGGTCAGTTGAATATAGAGATAAGTAGAATAATCGAGACTACATTAAAAACAAAACACGCGAGACACGCGTAAACGTGTCTGAGCACGCAGCAGCGACTGCCGCTAAGTTTGCTGTAACAACTTGTTGTGAACACATCTATGATAGAAGTTATTCCACAATTTTTAAAAATCGTACACCTAAGTAAATATTTTTATTCTTAAAGTTTTTGTTTTACAATCGTATATGATTGAGATATTTGATTTCTACTTAGATAATAAGTGTAATTCTTACTTAATAAAGTCAACAGATTTTTTTTTGTTTATGTATATTGTTAATGTTTTTAAAAAATGAACGGATGAGGATAGTAGACTAACCACAGCATGGAATTGTATGACTCATTTAGTAAAGACTCTTATAGTACTTACTCAAAATTTTATTCCTTTGAAGAGATTTTCTTCAGTAGTAAATATTATAAGTTTAGTTCTCTCATGTCCAATTTCGAAAACTAGGCTTATTCGACATGTTTTTGCACAAAATGAACAAATTTTGCAAAAAGAAATATTGTTTTGCCCCGCGAAGCGAATGTTTGTGTTCAAAATATATTTTTACAAAAGTTTTATTAATATGTAGCCAAAGATGTAACTTAAAATACATTAATCTTTATTTTAATAATCTTAATCGAATTACCCCGATCTCGAAGCTAATTGAATCAGATAGAATGCATTAAAAAAATGCATTTTTTTCATATCAGTTTCCCCTTATTATTAAAACATTATTAGGTAATCAAATATGTAGTAACTGGTATAGAATTCATTTTTTTCGATAAATCTCTTAATTTAGTAAAGAGTAGTCTGTAAAAATTCGAAGCTGAAAAAGTTTATTAGTCTATTAGTCCCGGTCTCCCCTACATCTTCTAAAAATGTTATCGGAATCAGATCTACTTGTCATTGAATTACACATTTCTTTTCTACGTGTCGGTTTAAATTGAGGTCAAAGTAGAACGTCACTTCCTGCGATCAGAATTTTCTTTTAAAACGACATTAACAATGTATTAAAACGTAGCTTACGATGCATGAAATATTTTTCTCGCTATCCACGGATATATTAAGTGACTCATCGTGCAGCGATTCCGTACCACTACAGATGCAATAGCGAAAAATCACCGACACATGGTCGCACAATTTAGTAGAGACGACATAGCGATTGGCCCGCGTTTTTTTTTTCTTTTTTTTTCCAATACCACGCGTACTCGAGTCGAATTCGCGCCTAAAATACGCCGAATGTAATTAATTCCGAAACCGCATTACACGAGTTAAAGCGAGCGTCGTCGCTCATCATTTTCACATGTTCTTCGAACAAACGTAACGCTCACTTTAAGGTGCTTACGTCACGCGAAAAACATGGCCTAGCTGCAAAGTGCAACCGCCGTTTTTTTTACCCGAAAACCGCATCGCGTTATCCGCAGAAGATGGTTTCCACGAAAATAATGTGACTGCTTTGTACAACGTATTACATGGAAACGTTGAAATATAACCGTTTCAAAGCCTCCATTCTTTTCTCATTAAATTATTAAAAATCGTACCCTGACCGAAATATTTCATAGTATAAATATGTAAGCACAGATAAATTGAATTTTAAGAATGTATCTGGCACACAATATCTTCTTCCATAAAAACCGTCAAAGATTTCTATATAGACAACAGGCTATTTCGCAACACCTGCAATTATTATTTCATGGCAAGCGAATACAATTTACAATAGCAAGAAGAATTGAGATAAGATCTTCTGAAATCGGTTTCAATTAGAAAATGCCGATAAGAAATATGAGATTGAAAAAAAGAAAGAGAAAAAGGCATACGGCCCTGTCGACTTAGGTCGTAACGTTTACGACACGTCAGCATTATGAGGTTAGCACTTCAAGTGGTACTATTTAAATAACCCCTGCTCCTGTGTTACGCAATTTAAAGGGCCTCGAAGGAAAAACTCGTAACTCTGACGGCTTGTTAAGTAAAGACTAAACAGAGATTAGAAAGTTGTGAATAAAGCCATGTTCCTTTTCCTTGTATTATTACACTGCTACTTTCCTTAACTATCTCTCTCTATTTCCTTAGAATGATATTAAATATGTTAAATATATTATTTACAATTTCAATTTTCAATTTAATAATCTTATAATTTGCCTTCCGAAAATTATATATTTTAAATTATGTACGTCATTATTATTTATAAAATATTGTTTTCAATTTTGGAAAGAAAATTCTATCGTAATTGGAACAAATTTTAATAATAAAGAATCTTTCCATAGAAAATAAAAACTAATATGACTCAAAACTGAATTTTTTGTATTATTAACATGATATAATATCATACGTTAAAGATAAAAACATCAATAAAGAAGATTGGCTTTTCTTCTGGATTTAGCCAAAACGGCCAATTTCACTAGTAATTTCATAAAAAAACAAGGCCGATGTTTCGTAGTTTTCTTTTTAAAAATGAAAGGTTTTGCGTAACCACGACGATTCTCAGGAGTCCTGTATGAGCCGCACAGTCCTCGAAACACACATCAAAACATCGTTGTTGTAGAGGTAGGCCTATACAATTTGGTGTATACAATGCGAGTACATTGTAACTCCTTCTTCGAATAGTGGCTTAGGCGATGCGATCGCGTGACATGCCCTTAGGGCGACCGTGGGCTTTCTCGAGCTCATTAGACCGAGAAAAAATTTAACACAGAAATGAGAGAATCCACGGGATCGAAAATTAGACGGACCCCGCGTTCGTTCGTAGAAAATATGCTACTGCCATTGTCCAATTTTTATCCTGCCATTATTGTGATTCGACCCTCGGGGGCGACCGTGTGAGAGGAATGGAAGAGAGAGAGAGAGAGAGAGAGAGAGAGAGAGAGGTTTGTTCCTTTCAAAAATATATTCGCCGCACCATGAAGTTAATCAATCGTTCGCTATCTATCGCGGTTGGGCTTCCCCCTCCTCTTCCTCCAAGATAATGGATGTATCCGTATAAATGAGTCCGAATAGCTCATCGTTGCGAAACAAAATTGTGGAATTTACTCTAAAAAAAATCAGGTTACTAATGGCATGTTTAGTCAAAAGAAAAATGCGAAAACCTGCATGTTTCAAGAGAGATAAGAGTTATTTAACCCTGAAGCTTATATATATATATATATATATATATATATATATATAT